ACTGTTTCTTCGTAATCTGCTTCTGTGATTGCTGCTGTTGCATAATTTTATCTTTTTCCAAAGCTCAAAGACTGACCAGACTTTTCACTTTTATCTTATAATTTCAAGAATCGATTTTTGAGGTTTTTTGAGGGTTTGGGGCAGAGGAAAAGGGAAGGAAAATTAGAGGTGGGGAACGGAATAAGAATTCAATGGGAGAAATGGGATTTGGTTAAGAAACTGAAGTTGATTGAGGAGTTGGGGAAGATCTGATTTGGGTGTAGAGAGAAGAAAATAGCGGGAGAAGAGAGAGAAAGAACGGGGAGGGAGAGACGAAGAAAGGAGGGAATTTGGTTCGGATATAGATGTGGAGGGAACCACATTTTATGTAAAAAAATCAACATATTATTCATGGCTAAACTCGATATAGTTAGTACAGGGGTGTTAAGTGGGACGATTGATATGCACAAGTCGAGCTTGCATGAGTTGTTTTGTTAGCCGACCTGTTATAAGTATGTGAAAATAAATTTTTATTAAGAAAATGATGAGCCACAAGCTCTCTTGATAATTCGAGTCGAGATTGACAGTGTGATAGATGAGCCGCTTGGCCTTGGCTCCACTCATTTAACGTCCCTAAATAGTTGGAATGCTCGATAGAACTGTGTCACATAAAATAAGAGTTTTTGATTTTGATTGCAAAATATACATGTGCTAAAATGATTGAAATAAATTGTCACGATCAACCCCCAAACTCATCTTAAGATTAAATTTCAAGCTACAACTCATTTACTTAAAGTTGGAATCGGTTGATTAATAGCTATACAACAATGAATTTGATCTTGAGCATTGTACGCATCGTTCGTTACACTATGGAAAGCCGACCATGTACGAAATCGTTATCTTAGTCACAATGAAGGGAATGCCAAAGGTAGAGCTAGCAACAAAAGTGAAGTAAGTATAGAATAATATATTGGAGTTATTCTTTGCATACATAAAATTAATAGTTATACTCAACATTTATATAATTATAAATTAAGTCCATGTTTGGTATGGATTAAAACCTAAATTTTAATCTAAATAAAAATCAATAATTAATTTTAAATCAAAGTTAATAATTAATGTTAACCACACTTCATAAACTTTTACAAAATCAATTATAAATCTAATTTTATTCTCTACCAAACATGGACTAAGTTAACAAATGCCCAAATCGAATAATTCTACTTATGCATAAAAAGTGACCGATAATTTACGAATAGACAGACGTTAATAAAAGAGCTTAAAATATTTTTTTTTATTTGATTGAAGAAATTCTAATCCAATAAATATATACAATGTTTAAGCAGTGGTATATATGTAATACGACCATTTGAAGAATAATAAGTTGATAATTCAGTGGACTTCGTTTTCTACCCTTTTGGGGTAAAATAGTTATTAAGTGGGTGGGTATCCAGTCACGTTCGAATCGGCGATTCGCGCCTTTAATTCGCACCGTTAAGCTGGCGATCTATTGGCGCGGTGCTTTACTTTTTGACTTCAACTAAAGCTCGCCACGTGTCATGCGTAATGGGCTACTAATGTTAATGGACATATTTTTGGGCTGGGCTTCTTCTATAATACCTTCGAGGTATCCCTAAGATTGGGCCTGAGTCCCTTGTCAATGATCGAGTAATATCCGTTTTAGTCCTCCAAGTTTTGAAAATAGTTTAATTGGAATGTGAATTTGTAAAACTAACTTTAATGGTGAAGACAATCATTTTCGTTATGATATTAGCTGAAGGGTCGAATCGAAGGATATTTTTGGAAAGTCAAGGGTTGAAGAGGGTTAAGATTGTTTTGTCAAAGAAATAAGTTGTCCACTTATGCAACGTTCTTTCTTAGGTCCCGTTTGGTACACATTAATGTAAAAATGAGAATGAAAAATATAATCGTTATGAATTTCACACAAGAGATAGAAAGTCAAATATAGTGACTTGATGTAATAGATAAATGTCATATTTTTCATATTAATAGACAAATAATAGGAAACAAATGGGGGCTTACTTGCGAGTGGGAATAGGAAAGTATATACCAAGGTATAATATTTAGCTCATGTTTGGTTTCGGCTTTCTAAAATTTATTTTTTTCTCAAATTCATTTTCAATCACACGATTTACGGAATTTAAAATTTTTTAATTAGATATTTCATCAACTTTTAGAAAAATTTACTAAAAATCAAATTTTTAGTTAAATCAAACAGGAACTTAGACCGTGAAGTACTGAGGAACAATGGGGAGATTTTTGTTATTCCTCATGTGACAAGGCTTCAAGCTTCGATCGTGTAGCAATCAACGAACAAATCAATTCAAGCCAGCGTTTGCGCGTTACTATCCTACCTGGCATAACCGAGGCCATCAACACACGGTTAGTTAAAGTAATGCGTCACTTCAGCCACAGCATCACGTAGAGAGATAGGTGAGGTACCACAACTTGCTGCAGTGCAATTTCGAAGTGACAAGTCTCTCAAGATATAAAAGCGAGGTCAACATATTTCTTTGGCCATAGTTGAAATAAAGGCAATTTTCTGAAGGAAAATGGTTGTTGGCCAGGCCAAAAAACAGGCCCAAAGTCAGGGTGCCAAGGTGAAAATTTTTTTAAAAAAAATGTATGAGATTGGGGGCTGAGGTGATGCCCCTATCCCTGAATCGGTTACTGAGTCAGGCTCAGTAGCAGAGTTCTTTTTTGAAGGTAGATAAAGGTAAATCGGATCAAGAAAATTGTCCAATACGAAACTTCATCCAAAGAAAAGAAATTAATAATGTGTACTAAATTAATTCATGGTCGAAGTCAGATTGCATGTGAAAAGGGCTCACCACCAGAACTGAAGAAGGGAGATAGTGACAAATGACAATAATATTGCATACACTGTTTCAACACAGAATCTAATCTGTAGTTATTTTGCTAAGTTGTGGTGGGTGTATAGCAGCAGAACTCATTAAAAGACACCAGTGTAAAACAAATATTTTTTTTTTCTTTTTCTTTTTGCATCATCATTTCTTACTAAGAAAATGGTAATTATTGAAATGGAGAAATGCATTTGAGTTGGTAGCTCTAAATTCAGGGGCTTTCATTATATCAAAACGAGAGGGAAAATAAAAATGCATATCAAACACTCCCTTGATAAGACATTTCATGGACACAAACCATTTATTCTATCAATTTATATCGAAATCTACTTTTTATCCAAACGAAACAGGCTAAACCATATGAATTATAAATGGAAAAATAAAACAAGATTTCGAAGTGGTATTGATTTTGGTGTGAATCTTCATGGAACATGATCCTAAAACTATGCTGTTATCTCATCAAAAAACGAGATGAAATCCAAAAACAAAAGAAAAGGTTGAATAAGGTAATTAATTAATTATGCACTTTTTTCTAGTAAGTCATTTAATAAGTTCCAAGCAGTTTCTAATCAGTTTATTAATTAGAATATATACTACTAATTTTGTAATGAATAAGAATTCCAAAAAATTAACAACTTGAAAACAAACCTAAAAGGACTTCAAGATCAAATAAAATGAACAAAAAGTTTTTAAAATAAACAAAATAAACCAACAAGAAGAGCTAGGAATTAAACAGCTCAAACATTATACATCAACATGGCAGTTCATAATCAACTGATACTTGATAGGATTTCCGACAGCAACACCACTGTTTTTAGTGCCAAAATTTATATAAGCTGGACAGTTCACATACAAATGATATTTCCCAGATACGAATGAGCCAACTCTCCATCGGATTCTTCCATTCACCTTAAAGTTAATCAACAATGTTCCGACCATTTGATCCTGGTTCAAAGAAACAGCAAGGTACGGCGCCACCGGCACTTCATTTCCTAACAAAAATGGCGACCAAACTGTAACATCTTTGTGTCCCTGGAAAGTAGATGGAAGCGATGTTGGGAGACTAATTTGTTGGCCGTGGTACGATGCATATACGTGGAGTTTATCATAGTATATGCCGATTCTGTCATTAGGGTTGCGAGAGGAGATGGTGATTTGGAGGTTTGAAGTGAGAAGGTTGGGGGTGGAGAGGTTGAAGGCGTATACAGTGGCATCTTGGAGGATGAAATGTGGCTTTGAGGGGCGGAGGATGAGCCATACTAGGAAAATGATGAAGAGGACGAGGAAGATGAAGCTGAATAAGGCGATCAAGAGGCGACCGAAGAGCTTCTTCTTCCCGTCGTCATCGTGTTGGCCGCAGTCTTCCTTCATGTTTTGGTTATGGAAACAAGACCTTGTAGAGATTTAGAACTTTTAGTTGAGAAAAATGGTTCAAGATTTTGTTTATGAAAATTGCTCTAGAGTTATGAAACTTAGGGTAAAATATCATTTATAGTGAGATTTTGTTTGTGTTGGGGTTCATGTTTTGCTAAGACTTAGGGTCCGTTTGTCAAGCTTTTGAAAAGTTAAAAATTACTATTTAGAATAAGTAACTATTTTTTAACATATTTAACTAAGGGCCCGTTTGATATAATTTATTTGGGAATAATGAGTTATTGGATAGTATTTTTTGAAGAATATGTATATAAAAAGTAAGGAAATTTTATTGATTTTTGTGTAAAATATTTTATTGTGTGAATATGTGATGGAGAATAACACTGTAGTAAACAATTCAAATTTTTAAAAGATGACAAACAGGGGCTAAGAGTGCTTTATTAATATAACTTTTTTCAAGAAACTCTTTTATAAAAAGTAGAAGCAAAATTCTTGTCAAATAAGCCCCTTAAATTAGAGCCTTGGATAAAGGCACTCAGTTGATCTTAATGCATTCGATAGTCCAAAACACGATATACGTATCAGTAGAATTTTATATGTTCTTATATGTATAAGTGGAATTTTATATTTTATTTTCTTTAATATCGTTCAGTATTGTTGAGTGTAGCAAACCAAACACGATATTAATGTTGTTATTTAGTACAACCTTATCTTTTGAGGGCATCTTCTAGGCAAAGGCTAAAGATATCGAAGTATGATGGGGTCACGTGCATATAAAGACTTCACATACGACATTATAAGGGGATGTTTGATAGATATTTTTATGTAAAAATGTATTTTAGAATAGTAAATTGATATGAAATGTGTGGTTGAGAAATAATGAAATTTTTTTTATTTACGTGTAATATTATTTTACTAAAGAATGTATGGTTGAAAAAAAGAGAGAGAAAAATGCATTTTGAAAAAAAATGGCTACCAAACGGGGCCTTTGATATCGTATCAGGCGTACGTAACCTACCATCATAGCTCTTGCATTATATAGCGACATTAAATTGTATCAGTTTCCAGCAGGAAATTAATTACTTGAATTTAATTTTGTGATGCGCATTAATTAATTAAAATGAAAAGATGTTTGTTTCCCATGTTCATGAAAATGAGAATGAGAATGAAAAATATAGTCGTTATGAGTCCTACACAAGAGATAGAAATTCAAATTTGATAGATTGATGTGATAGATAACGGTCATATTTTTCATTTTAACGAGAAAAGAATGGGAAACAAACGGGGGCTAAAATTTTATCTATTTCCATCGACGATCCCTCCTTTTTTGTGTAATGACAGCCATAATTTTTGGGCATTGACATGATAAAATTTTCATTGAAGTAAGAGAAGAGAAGTAGATCTCAATGTACAAAGATGGTTCTTTAATGTCATTTTAATTGTGCCATTTGAAAGTTTGGAAAGCTTAATTAATTGTGGTCCATGTAATAAAGGAACCGAAAGCAAAAGATTAACCAATTAATATATATAACATAAGTATCGTCGGTTGCAAATTTTGTTACGTGAATTTAAATGGTTGGTAGCGAAAATGTTAGTTGCTCTTAGTAAAAGGATTATTTACGTATGAATTATAATTATATCATATTTTTATATTTATGGTTAATTTGATATGTATGAATTTAAATAGTTGACGATGTTAGTATCCTTAGGAGGCTTTTTACTTTTGTTTCTGCTAGAAAAGTTTTCTAAGACCCAAACCATGGTCACTAGAGCAAAACTAGGTGTGGTAAAACCCAATCCTAAGTATGCCTTGTCCACGATCACCTCCGCCAATGTACCACGTGAGCCACAAAATATTAGAACAACCTTAGCACACCTTGGTTGGAAAGCAACAATGAATGAGGAACTTGTTGCTCATCAAAATAAAACATGGATACTCGTTCCTCGCGCACCTAACATGAATGTCATTGGTTCAAAATGGGTATTCAAGTTATAGCTTAAGCTTGATGGGACTTTAGATTGACTCAAAGTGCGCTTGGTTGTAAAAGGATATCATCAAGTTGATGGAGTAGATTGTACTGGGACTTTTTCTCCTTTGATCAAACCAGGAACAATTCGGATGATTATAACTATCGCACTTGTTAAGTGGTGGTCTATTCGACAACTAGATGTAAAAAATGTCTTTTTGCATGGCCTAATTCTGAAAATCTTTATATGCAACAACCACCAGAAATGGCAAATCCAAAACATCCAACATATGTTTGTAAACTACAAAAAGCACTCAATGAGTTAAAACAAGCGCCACGTACTTGATTTGATCGATTTAGTGCTTTTCTTGTTAAATTTTATTTTTTTTTGTAATTTAGCCAATCCTTCATTATTTATTTCTCACTCTGAATTTGGTTTACTAATCTTACTACTTTATGTGGATGACATATTGCTTACAGGATCTACTCCAGAACTTGTTGAAAAGTTCATTATGTTATTAAGCAATGAGTTCGCAGTGAAAGATTTGGGACCAATTCACCACTTTCTTGGAATAGAAATCACGACAACAAAATAGGGGGCTTCATCTATCTCAATCTCACAATGCCCTTACCATACTTGAACGCTCCAATATGATAGATTGCAAGCCAATGAGTACATCTCTTGAAGCTAAAACCAAAACTTCTTCCAATGAAATTCTCTTGGAAGACTCAAGTTACTATCGAGGTCTTGTTGGAGCATTACAATATCTTACATTTACTCATCCCGCTATTTCATTTAGTGTTAATTATGTATCCCAATTCATGCATACTCCCACAATGACACACTTAAAAATGGTTCAACGTAACCTAAGATATGTCAAAGGAACAATAGAAATGGGTTTACATTTTTCTTCACATAGTGCCTTGATCTTTTTGCTTTCTCAAATGCAGATGGGTGTCCTACTACAAGATGTTCAACCACTGCTACTGTACATTCCTTGGAGGGAACCTCATCTCTTGATGTGCAAAAGAACATACCATTTCGCGATCAAGCACAGAAGCAGAGTACCGCGCCATGGCTAACACAGCAGCCAAACTCACTTGGCTGACATTCATTCTCAAAGACCTTCGAAATGTGATAACATCTCCTCCCATACTCTATTGAGACAACCTCAGCCCTCTTTATATGACAGTTAACCCTGTATTTCATGCTTGAAGCAAACACATAGAGTCAGATTATCATTTTGTGCGTGAATAAGTTGCACTTGGGCTGCTTATTACTCAACATATCTCCAATGATATCTGAGTTGCCAACCTTTTCACAAAACCAATGTCAAAAGCAGCCATTCAATATTTTCGAAACAAACTTTGCCTCCAACCCCGACAAAGTTTGAGGAAGGGTATTAGCAACAAACCACAACTCAACACAATCAATAAGGAAGCACAAGATTCTTGGAGAAAAAAATGGGAAGACTCTCACAACATTACCGAAATTAGTGGAGAGAATAAGGAAGCACAAGATTCTTGGAGGAAAAAAGGAAAAGACTTTCACAATATTGCTGAAATCAGTGAAGAGAATAAGAAAGCGAAGATTCAGGAAAAATCAAAACAATATGAAGATTTATCAGTTTCGGCTAATATGAAAGATTCTAATGTAAATCTGTCAAAAAAACAAGTAAATCTGAGATATGAGGACCATTTGTGCCAGATTTTATGGGATTCATTTTTCTATATTATTAGTTTAAATACTCCTCTTGTAATACCTAATGATTCACGTTGCCAATCATTGAATTAAAAACATATCAATCTAAGCTTTCTTCTTCCTCCTTTTTATCCTTTCCTTCTGTATACTTAGGAGGCTTTTATTTTTACATCTATTTTTGCTAGAAAAGTTTTCTAAAAAAGCTACTTAAAGATAACTTCTTTTCAAAGTTCTTTTAACAATACAAAATACTTTCAGAAAATTATTCAAACACGTTGAAAAACAATTTCTTAGTTTTAGAAACATATTTTATTTTTCTAAATTCCTATAAAATGTCTCATTTAAAGACATTTGTACGTCAACTATCTATTTAATTGACTGAGATAGATTTTTCATTTTAGTGACAATATGATAAGATATGACCAATCCCATGGAGGGCAGTGGCAGAGCCACCATTGGTGGTGGTGGTTGCTATTAGCTGAAACAAACATGCAAATCATAAATTTCTGATGGATTTGAAGACAAATATTTAAGTGATGTCAATCACACTTATTCTCAAAAGTATTTGACATTTTTGAACTTTTTATAATTAATAACCTTGTGACACTTTTAAAATTTCAATTACAAAGATTTTTTCAACTTACAATGATTAGTCCGCGAGAGTCAAATTTTCATTCATGGGTACGAGAACACACATTTAGCCCTTCTTTGAGCCCTATTATTTCTATCAAAATGCATTCTTAAACGATGATTTAACTCTATTTCAATCACACGTTTTTTATTAAAATAATATTACACGTAAATTAAAATTTTTCTTTATTTTTTAACCACACATTTCTCATTAATACACTATTCAAAAATTCATTTTTTGGCAAGAATGGGGCTTAAAGACGTTATCCCACCATCCTTTATCTTCCTGGCTCCCACTTTACTCATATGTCTGTATTTGTGTGGCTTTTCCCAGGAGAAGAAAGCCTTTCCAATCCACACAAACCAAGGAAGCAAGGACATCCCTTCACATCTTAAGATCATTAGCATCGCTGGAGTTGTACTACACTGTTTATGTGGACCAAGGTAAAAAGTGCTCGATTTCAACGTGTAGAACAAAATCAATCTTTTCAAATACACAACATGAATTCTAACTAAGTTGTGTTTAGCTCTCAAGTCGATCCAAATGGGTCATCCTCTTGCAAGTGCAGAATTTTTTTACGTACAAGGCAAGAGTTGATCAATGGATAATAGAGAAGTAATGAGAACAAAACAAATTATAGGGACAATATGCAAGATTCTAAACGGTGGAACTTCTTGACAATCCTTCAAGTTCAATTTAGGAAAAATAAAACCATATCTTGATTTATTGAATTGGACGGATGGAGGTATAACAGATTGAACACTTTCCAGAGCATCCGAAGGCAAATTCACAGACAAATTTCAATTCCAGAGTATGCTATGACAAACCGAGCTTTACTCCGACCACATGAATCCTTCTCCTCTATTACATTTTGTTCCAGGCTAGATCTGGCAACTAGGATTCTTTCAAATGGCTAATGAAAATGAATAGGTGATATTATGAACAGGAAGCTTAAATCTTATCCCAAACCAACATGTCTAGACTATATAACTTCCAAGAAGTTGCAAAAATATTTGTCCCACCAGCTCAAGCTACGCGGTACTGAACAGAGAGCTTCCAGTCAAACAGCGAATTAGCATTTCTAACCAAACTGCATGATATTTCAAGATTGATTGCTTCAAAAACCAGACAGCCAACAATGAAATTCAAGGAACATTAGCTAGCACTCACGATGGTAAATGTTTCCATATGTTTTCTCAGATGAGTGAACTCATAACATGGACTCGAAGAAAAAAGAACAAAGTGAACTGATAACAGTACAAACTACACCATAAACTAAGATTAAAAACAATGAATCAAACATGATAAGTAAACGGAAGATATGACGGGGAACTGACTACTTTAAAAGATAGTTATTTAGTCATGCAGAATCTGTGAACTGATGTTATCAGACATTCATCACTCAGGGTCGATGAAGAGCAGAAAAAGAATGTGTATAAAGTACCCAAAGAAGAAGAAAATCCATATTAGATTAGAGGCTAGAGCAATGACTTCTGTTGCAAATGGCCAACAGTCACGTAAACTACCATTAGCTATCTTTTAAAGGACGAGAAACCACTGCTATAAAACACCAATTAAGAGCACATATGAGTGTGTTTCTTATTGGTCTTGTCCAACATCCACAGTCTAAGCAATGGATCTCACATAAACAGACCGAAGACATAAACTTCAGCTTAAAAGGCCAACTACGTAAACCCAGCTTTTGCACAATTTCATTTCTACCAAACTCTACGTGGCTTGTCAAGCATTAAGTTCTAAAGGGATTGAGAAGGTATGCCGAAACAAATCTCTTAGAAGACAAGCTACATATGGCTATGTGGTCACCAATACATGTATCGGGCAATTAAAAGGGATTTGAACCTTAATGAAATGTCTAAAATGTTGGACTAGTCAGTACCAGATCATATTAAAGAAGAAAAAGAAAGCTAAAATCTGGTTGACAGTACTTTCCTTCCATGTCCAGCAACCAAACATGCACTTAAAGAGTAAAATTTAGAGACACCCTTGAGAGGTAAAGCTGAAACAGGATCCTTATAGCCGATCCAAATATAAGTACGCAATAAGAGTTAAGTTTTTCCTTTGTCAATACTGATTATACCTACAGTAAATCGCCATCTAAGTTCAAGTTACTAGTCATGTAGCGGATTGAAATTTTTGGGGAATAGGATTAAAAACGGTTCACTAAGATATAGTACTTACAAGATAAATTTATCTCATCAAAAACATATGCGG